GGGCATTTGCTCCTGCCGAAGTGTGAAGCCGACGACTAGGTGCCTCTTTTCCCCNGGGCGTGGCCCCCAGTGGGCGTGCCCCTGCCTAGGCGCTATTGCGGGCTTTTGGCTGCTTTCAGGACAGGGACCCGTTGGGATAACAGACCCCGCTGCGCCATCTCAAAGCAACTACCCCTCTGCCGCGGCGCCATCCACCGGAAACGGACCCAACCTCACGAGCACTAATACTCTGAGTCGGCCACTTGCGGTCTACAGATTCGTGTTCTTCATAAGCTAAGCCTGACCCGTAGCTTCTAATCCAGCCTGGTCAAACAACAGCGGCGGCGCATCCCTTTCCCGCTATTTTAAAACTGGGTCCGGTCTCTCCCATGCCTTTGATATAACAGAACTTGCGGCGGCTGGCTGTGCCTACAGTCTGACCGCGCGGAGCAATAGCTGGCGTCTGTTACTCACCGCATCGGCCCCCTCCGGGTAACTAGGTGCTCCGCCATTCTGGTGTCCTCCTTCGTCCCGCTGTTGGAGGATGTCCTCCAAGCCTTCTTGGCCTCCGCCGCGCGATTGCTCGCGCTCTGCCATCACTTCGCTGTTACTGGCGACCGATATGCCAGCAACGTCAAATCGCCTTATCTACTTTACTATTGAGCTGGGTCCCGAATACAAAGTAAGTCACTATTTAAACAATTCAAAATCCCCAACAGACGACGTTCTGACTTGCGCTTGCTTGCACGGTTGACTGGCGAACTAGCGTTGTCTGGATTCAGCGCTTTGTTCCCAGCTAATCTTTGTAACGCACTACCGTATCAGTCACTGTCCTCTGGCCAATTCCGGTCTGCTCCTCCCGCGCCGCACTTGCCGTACTACACTACAGGACGAGCACTTAATCAATATCATTAGCGCACTCTTTATTGATGCCGTTCGTTTCCTTGCCTATACATGCTTTGGAGTAAAAATCAGTATATCGAAATAATATTGTTGGCCGTATTGGAGCTTGCAGTCAATTTAAAGAGGTTTTGTTTAATTGGCGATCCCGGCTTTGCGGATCCCGGCTTTGCGACACGGGGATGTTTCCACTTGGATTAAAAGTCGCGGATTAAGGCTTTATCCGTCACATTCGGAAACATCGCGTGGATTAGGACGGATTAGGCGGATTAAGGTTGGCACGATTAGTTAGAGATTTCCGCCCGTTTTCGCGGCTTCGCGGATTAATTATAGATTAACATGCTATAAAATGCGAGCATTCTTCCTATACTAAAAGCTCAAACTTGTGTGTGTGGTTGTTACAGTGGGCTCCAGACTCCCGAAGAGTAGAGCCATCGGGCCAGCTGGCCGTGCACTGCAGTAGAGACTAATATACCAATAGAGACCATCACCTCAGATAATTAACCTCTCATCGGTAACCTCTCCCGTGAGCACAGCAATTTGCCAGATATAATCCTCAAGAAGGGGTGATGTGCGCCAACAGAATCCCAACCTTTCCGTGGAATTCCCAAAGCTGCGAAACCCTGAAGGCGGCCCCAAAAGTCAACAATAACTCGACAGATGGCTTCTTCCGTAAGGGAAGGGCCAGGTAACAGTGCCGGGTTGGTTTTCATGTTTGCAGCCATATAACGTCTCCCATGCTCCATGGCTGACACCGCAGCAAAGAGCCACAACATCCCAAACACATTGTTGCACTGTTTGTGGGGCTTGGACAAGCCAAAGTTGCTCCCTTGAGACTGGCAATCCTATTGAAAGAGTAAGTTGATCTGCTACTGCCTGTGCCACCGGACAGGCCCAGAAATGATGACAGCGAGGGGATACACCTCCCACTGAACCTACTGGATAATCTCCACAACCACATACTGTTGGCCGCGACATCCTAAGATGGGAATTTCCTAACATAGGCACCCCATCAACCGCGAGACGCCACCAAACCTCCTTTTGTTCATTTTCCCACCGTAAATGAAACCATAAACGATGGAATGTCCGTTGCAAAAGAAGAATAGCTTCATCCAATACCTCAGAAGAGCCCGTCGCCTCTTTGATGAAGAGGGTATGGGCCACACGGCGAGCCATCGGAAAAGGTGAAAGTTGCATATTAGTCGCTATTTTAACGGATAAATGTTGGAATCTGATTGGAGGCCCTACACCCCATCTCCAACCAAGCCTCGACACTAGGGTTTGGGTAACTTGGTGGGAAAAACTTGGTGGGAAAAACTTGCTACCTGTTGGCCACCAGTACTGTATCAAATTGACAATCTCGGATTAACACTTTTCACGACGCCTCATAAAAAGCCTGATTGATAGGTTGGAAGGTTATCCCTTATAACGGCTGTAGGTGTTTCTAGTTTTGTGGAATGTTTATGCTTCCTGTTCGGCATTATGCACCACACCGTGGATGTCGTTCAAAGGTGCTGCAAGGCCTTTATGTTGATACTCGATGCCCCCGCCTTTATTACGTTTGCTAGTCATTTTCATTGTCGTACAAGCACCCGTAGGGAGAAACTCGCTAGTCATTTTCATCCGTGTCGTACAGGCACCCCTAGGGAGAGTCTCGCTAGTCATTTTCGAACTGCAAATCCGTAATCTCTGTCGTAAAAGGCACTTGTCGGAGATTCTCCCTAGTCATTTTCGCGCGCTTCGGTGTTAGTCGTACGAAGACGCCGAGTATATTACTATGACTTCTACCGGCTTTGCAAATGAACAAAGTCTCTATCAGAATTCTGAATTTCTCGAGGTATTGACGGCGTTGATTTAGGAGCATATAGACAGCGGCCGCGGAAGGCGGTGCGCTTATAGAAAAGCCGCTGCGGCGGTCCGCTAAGGGCGGCACGAAATGCATGACAAGCGGCCGCGGAAGGCAGTGCGCTTAGGAAGCCCGCCGTGGCGGCAAGCCGAACTGACGGCTTTGTGATTTAAGAGTGTGTAGACGGCGACCACGGAAGGCGGCCCGCTTGTAGAAAAGCTGCTGCGGCAGTCCTCGGAGTGCGGCACAAAAATGCATGACAAGCGACTGAGGAAAGCAGCACGATTAAGAAGCCCGCCGCGGCGGCACGCTGAACTGAAGGCGTTGTGACCTAGGAGGATATAGATAGCGACCGCGGAAGGCGGTGCGCTTGTAGGAAACTGCTGTGGTGGTCCGCAAAGCGCGGCACAAAATGCATGACGAGCGGTGGTGAAAGGCAACGCGATTAGGAAGCCTGCCGCGGCGGCACACCAAACCGAAGGTGTTTGGTATGGGAACTTGTAGACAGCGACCACAGAAGGCATTGCGCTCGTAGCAAACCGCTGCGGTGGTCTGCTGAGTTCGGTTCACAAGAGGCTGCAGGAGGTAGCGTTCTTGAGTAACCCGCAGTGATGGCTTGCCGGATTACAGGCGTGGCGATTTAGGAGTATGTCAACAACGATCGCAGAAGGCGGCGCACTTGTAGGAGGGAGACGGGGAGGGACACGTCTCAGACACGGGACCAGGAGTACCAAACACAAAGCGGGGCACAGAACGAGCCACAGCTATTAGAAGGCCGTTACTGTTACACATAAAACCCCATAAAGGGTCGACCCACCGATGGAGACCATAAGGGTAGTTGCCCGAGTAAGGCATGGGAAAGCCAGAAATAAACGCGGTAATCGTACCAAACGCCCTTGCCTGGGAATGTTTTTCAGCTAGGCGGCTGCCGAAGGCATTAGCATCTTTCTGTATGAGGAGGGGCGAAGGCCGATTCGAACGTCATTGGTTGGCCCATCAGGAAACCAGAAGCAAGGATGCCGTGAGGGGAGAAGGGCGCTCCAAAAAGGTCAAGGCATGCCCAGGTGCAGGCTACGGAAGTACCAGAGAGGGCCGCTAGACTGCCGGGGCCAGTCAAGGTTACCCTGTTGAAATGCAAGGCACGGCCATGGGAGCGGAGGAAAAATGGCCGAGAACTACCGGAGCAGTCAGCTTCCCCGAGCAGTGGGGAATCGGTGAGTGGCAGTGACGAAGATATGTAACCCGGGCGGATGACTAGGGCCAGGAGGGCGGAATCGGAGGACATACGCCAGGCTAGAGCCGAAGGGTCATCTGCTGCCGGCAGACAAGCGGAAAGGGACATCCGGTCCGAATCCAGGGGCCTGGTCGGGCAACAAGTGGATTGGCGAGCCTTGGGGAAAGACGTTGGCTGCAAAACACGGAGACAAGGCCACATCACTCAGAGGCACGTTCGAGTCCAACGCGGTCTCAGACCCAGGAGCGATAGTGGCATTACGAATCGAAGAATTTTTGGGCTCCGAGGACGGCCGTCAACTTTGGTGGGGCGGCGCAAAGAGCTTATGGTGATCGGTTTGGCGGACGCGCTGGAACAGTTGGTTCTAGCGAGTAGGGCAGGATCTCCGCGATGGATGCACGAATCGCTGGAGGCGAGGCTACGATGTGGACTGACACCCCTTATCGAAGAGATAGCAGACCAACTGGCGGCAGCCTTCCGAACAGCAGCGGGAACCTATCAGGGTGTGAGTCCAGTTTTGGGGGGAAAGTGTACAGTTCCCCAATTGATGACTACCACGTGTCAGAGGAGCAATGCGGGGCCAACTTAGGTGACTTATAACAGGTGCCCGGGTGCGCCACCCGGGGGTGGTCGGGGGAACGCGGAGATGAGAGTGAGAGAGTTGGGGATACGAAATGGGGAGAGTTTACGGTGGGAGCAGGAGTAAGGCGAGGCAGAGAGGGGGGCGCGCGGAGCGCGGGTGGCCGGGGTGTTTTAGGTTGGCAGGGGGATGGAGGGTGGGACGCCGTGCATGGTGCGTGGGGCTCGCTTAGGCTGAGAGCGTTACAAAGGTTGTAACTGAGCCCTTCGTATCATACGGATGCTCGCCCCAACTAATCCGGCCCTTACGGTGGCGGGCTCTTTGACTTCAGAAATGCCAAATACAGAAATATGGAGGGCCCGATGCCAACCCCGGATATCACACCAGGACGAGACAGTCCGAGTTTGGCCATTCCAGCACAGAATGCAGAGTCAGACAACAGATACCAACTAAGCTTTATTAATACAGGTTACAGAAAATAGACGACTAGAAAGACTAGAGAAAGTCGAGGTCGCCCTCCCTCCCCACCCTTGTGAGACAGGACCAAACACGCACAGACTTATCACTCATCATCACTCTCCGAAACCACCAGCCCCGTCCCCGTCCCGCCGGCCGGGAGGCGGGCGAGATGCCTAGTAGGATCCAGATAGCGGTGCAGGGTACCCAGAGAGCGGATGTGCGTGGAGCGCATGAGATCCTCATCGGAGACCCCCTGAGACTGGGCATGCTGCAAAGCACCCCGACGAAAACTGTGCACCGTCTCTCCACCGTATAGCCCAGCAGCGGTAAGATGAGTGACGAGGCGATATTCCAGGGCCTCGGTCGTCATCGGCGCCTCCCGATATGCGCGGCCACTGCGCTCCGCCGGACGGAAAAGGTATTGCGTGATAGGGGCACCTGCCCCCGCGCAAGTGCTCATGTACACTGCGAGAACTCATAGCGTGCAGATGAGGGGATCACGATCTGGACGCAGCATCGTCGCAGGAGCACGATGACCCTTGTACGTCTTGGTATTTAATTCTTCTATGCGTAGTACAGTGTCGGGAGAAACACTCCCGTCGGGCGCTGGTAGGGGTAACGGCCAGCCCTGGTACTCGGTACGACCATGCACCGTATCCCTGAAATCACTTAACGACAGCTTGCCGACATCATGACCTCGCTGATAAGTATGCCACATTAAAGCAAAGAGTGACAAGTCCCGAAGCACCAAACTGCGAGCAAACAAATGCTCTTCATCGCCGGAGGCAATCCACAGATGGCAGGCCAGGCGACGAAACTTCTCCACGGTCAAGGGGATGGCGCCTCGCTCCACATAACCGGCGTCACTCAGGTCCCGTCCGTAGCCCTTGACATAGCCTCGCACCAATGAGCTGTCGCAGGGATTCCCGCGGCTTTGAGAGGCGTCATAGTCCCCTTCCCGGCCCAGCTGCTTAAAGGCAGTCGCAAGGCTTGATATAACCCCTTTTACAGCACTGGCGCTGGGACGCCCGTCTGCCTGCAGACACCCAGGGTGCCGAGGGAACCACCATTCCACCAGATACGAAACAATGGACATAGGATCGCAGGTGAGCAAGGTGAGCCCGAGAGACTGGCGCTGCAACCAGCCATGAAATTCTCGCGCAGCACTTTGAACCCGCCGCCAGCTCTCAGAGACCCACTGACGTTGGTGCACCTGGTAGATGGAGAGCAAGGCGGCCGTGAGTGGCGGCCGCACTGACACGTCCCCGGTAAACTCAGAGTAATACAGAGCCGCGACAGGGTCCAAAGGCAGCGGCGCCGACCTCGGGAGACAGATAGGGCCCGCAGCAAGCGGAGGCATGGCAGGGAGAGCATTACCAGGAAAGACCTGCGGTGATAGTATAGCCGAGGCGTAGGACGCACTAAGCTGACGGACATCCATCGAAAACAAACCAAACGTACCAGCGGCAGGTGTAACGGCAGGACGATGAGATCGTCACGCACAGGCGTAACGGTAACGAATCGATGAGGAGGCGAAGTAGGTGGGTCTTGGCCCCACGGCAAGCCGCCAGGTACGAGAGGAAACATAATGCTAACGGATACTCTCGATAACACGAGTACTTGATTCAGGAACACGGACAATTATTACAATAAAACGGGGCGCGATCGCACTTCCATAAAATTTGGATATCACCGAAAAGGGCCTAAATTCGTTCGTGCGTGGTGCGTGGGGCTCGCTTAGGCTGAGAGCGTTACAAAGGTTGTAAGTGAGCCCTTACGGATGCTCGCCCCAACTAATCCGGCCCTTACGGTGGCGGGCTCTTTGACTTCAGAAACGCATTGTTCCAATAACTGATCGCGAACCGCGAACTAATTAACAGCAGTCTCTGGTAGTAAGAACCATTGTATATGTTCTCTTACATACCGTGCCCTTCGCAATATGACTCTGTATGAGTGGTATATTGGTCGCTTGTCCGTGCATCACAGCTGCCTAATAACCGAAATAAACGCAAAACACATGTCATGCGTGCATTCATCAGCAAAGCTGCAGCCATGGGCATGCGTGTGATTGTCTGTGCAACCACGGGAAAAGCTGCAAAATTCCTGGGCATGGGGGCAATGACAGCACACTTCGCATTTGGCTTTCAGGGCAGCCAATGGATACCGCTCACCAACCGATACATGCTCATGTTCTTGGCCATGGCTGATGTCATTTGTCTAGATGAAATCAGCATGGCCAAGGCCGCATTCCTGCAGCAGCTGCACCAACGCTGCTTGGATGCTTGCCCCAACATACCATCCACCCTTCCTTTTGCAGGAAAATTAATACTCCTTAGTGGTGACAAGCATCAGCTTGCCGCCGTGTGTGACCGTAAGTGTGACGAAGATGCATGCATACACCAGCCATACGTGTGTGTGTGTGTGTGTTACATGGTTGGGGGTGCGTGACCCCATACCTGTAAGACTACCCATACGAGCCGAAGGCCCAAGGGCAATACTACAACGCCTAAAAGCCACGGAGAAAAGGAAAAAAAAACACCGCACATCAGCCCAGACTAGCGTCCAAAGGGGGTAATTGAGTTTCGGTGAGCCCACATACGTTCCAACATCCTCACCAGCCATACAGATGGGCCATGTGGCACATGTTTCAAGAAATTCAACTAGGAACAAATCACCGACAGAATCCTAATAATCAAGCATGGATTGACGCACTCAATGTGATCAGGGTAGGGCCACCAACCGAACCCATCCTGGCACTTTTGCAGACTCGTGTGGTAAAGTCTTCCCAAAATTTCGTTGCACCCAAAAAATCATGGCACATAGCTGGAACAAACGAAGAAATCAACAAGTATAACCAAGATATGGCACACACCCACTTTCAACAACAACAGCATATTACAGCTGCCGACAAGCTTCACAAAGGAAATAGGTATGCGCCCGATGACGTAGCTTATCTGTACAAAGCAATGCAAGACCAAGGCGTGCTCCTAGATCACCTGTACCTCGCTCCCGGGATGACGGTCATGGTTACCAAGAACCTGTCGGCCCCAAAAATCGAAAACGGTGCTTTAGCTATCGTGCAAGAAATCACCGAATCCATGCTGTCACTCCAGCTTTTGGACTCCCAAACCATAATCCGCCTGCCAAGGATATGCGAGGTCAAATACAAGGATGGTGCCAAGCTTGAACGGAAAATGTTCCCGGTCATGCCTGCTTTTGCAAGAACTGTACACAAGGTGCAGGGCGATACCATAACGGATCCCGTCATTATTGACTTTACAAACATGAACCGACTAGGGCAAGCATATGTAGCACTGTCGCGAGTTGTGGATATTGAGCAGCTGCACATCCTCCCCATCGACATCCAATTGACACCAAACATGTTCAAGGCACATGTACCCCCTTAAGCACCATGATTCATTTTACTGTTAGACTGCTTACGTTGTTCCTGCTACTGTCTTACTGCCTGTCACAGTCTTTGCATTACTATGACCTTAGACACCTATCCCACGTCCCACCTGCAATGTCATCAACCGTCACAACTTTAACAGCAGCTGCGAGTCATCAGTCCCAGGCTCAAGCCATGGGTTTATCCGTCCAGCAGTACGAAGGCCTTGGTTTTCACATGTGAAAATGGTACAGTGTACACTCCGCCCACCACCATAACATCACGCGCCACACGACGCCCCGACGACGAACGAACCCCAAAACAAGAAGCATACCTTAATGATATGTCAATCATGCCATGTGACTGGCCTACCACAATCGGAGAATGCTCAAGACTCCTAAGCAGCAGGACAGCAGACTACGAAGACTTCAAGAAAAAATACAATGAAAAACCTGCATCAGGCAGACAACGTGCAGCTCTCCACTCACGAGGACTATCCATGGACGAAATTGACAAGCTTACTAAAAGCCAGGCCAGCAAGCTCATGGACAGCCATGCGTCAGGAGAACAGGCCACAGCAGCACAGCTTGCTCAGTTGCAAAGGCTCAACGTACAGCTACCGCAGCAACCACTATCCAAGAGGGATGCGTCGGCACTCATTACACAGAACTCCGTCAAAGCACAGGCTGCGACGCCATCACAGAAGGACCTACTCAAGAAACTCACGAATCAAGCAGGTCAACAAATCACAGACGAGCAGCTGGACATCATGACGCTGGCGCAAGCCTCAACACTCATCGCCGCGCTCATATCGAAGCGCAACAACGGAGGCAACAAGGCAAATGGTAAAATCAACCACTACGACGACAACCTACATGACAAGGGTGGCGGACCATCCCAAGATGGTGCTGGTGGTGCTTCCGCATCGGCAAATGTATCACAAATAGCATAGCTATTAAATATGTGACAGTCGTCTATGTGCAATCCTGCTGGGCCTATAAGTAGCTGTGTTCCTGTCGATGTAGAGTGCTCGTTGATTGATGCTGCCCCCGCCGACAATTTACGAAGAACTTCCTTTCTGCACCAAATGCGTCGCTTTGGAGTGTATACACCATTTAAAGCCTGATTTTGCCGGACTTGGAAATGACACCTTCTGCTTCACGCTGGAAGTGAATCCTTTAAAGGAAATTTGAACTTTGAAAATTCAAAGCCGACATCCAGTGCAAGAATGCATTAATCTACCAGATGATGTGAGTTTACTCTTTCTCATTTAACATGTGTTGGATGTATTGCAACTAGCACTACGGGCTGTGCTCGAAATCTAGCAGCCTTGAACGTTAAAGCTTTGCTCAGTCACGAGGGCGCGTCACTCCATTCGAGCAGAATCATCTTGCCTGGTTGTCTTTATGACATAAGAAAGGTTATGTACTTCCATTTTCCATTATCGTTAACAGCATCCCCCCGGCGAACCCGCAGATGCTCCTTTAGAGGGTGCCAAAATGATGTCGCCGTCATGGCTTCCGTAAATGGCGTCTTCACAAGGAGCTTCCCAAAATCTCAACGTTATGCCTCACCGGGGACTGTGATATTGAAACTGAATGATCTGACCTCGCGACACCTCGGTACCAACAGCAATGGCGCCAGGATTTGCCTTACTATATTGAATGGGGGCAAGGGCAACTGCACCACTTTGCGGTCGCTCTGTGCAGACCCTAAGACCACCAGCTTCAAAAAGGATAACAACGGCACTTCGATGAGTGCATGGTTGCACTATTCACTGGCTCCAACCGCGCCTCTGACCGTACCTGCTGTGACCCCGGTTCTCCCCCATCTCCAACACCAACCCCGCCTCCCCCTCCCCCACCCCATCCATCATCTCCCCTACCTCCCCCGCCTCCCCACCACCACCACCTCCCCAATGTCCCCCAAATCCCCTACCTCCCCCTCCGCTGTACCATCCATGTTGGAAGTACTCCCAACGGCAGCTTCCTAAGAAATACAAACTCCGATGAGTGCATAGTTGCGCCATTCACCTTCGGTGGTGCCTGCTGCGCCTCGTGTGGAATGGCTAATGAATAGGCCATTGCCAGAAGATGTGGTATCAGAGTCCAAGGATTGGCTGATGACCGGTTAGAAGCATATGCATCTAGATGTCCAGCCAGACATGTACCCCCCAAAACAGCTGTGAACCGAGGGCACTATCGGACTCATGTACACGGCTTCACCAGGCACTCTAGAACGAGCGAGCTACCGGCCGCCAGCCGGACGCGACCCACGGGTGCAAGGGTCGGATAGTGGGGGCTGTTGGAAACGAATGGGAGTTTTCAAGCTCAACCGAGCAGGAATTAGGTTGTTCATTACAAGTCATGATATTGTCGTGCTTGCTGAGTCATATTTAAGAGACGCAATTGAGGATAAAGACATAGCTTTGGAAGGGTTCCGCATTTTCCGGGTGGAGAGGTCAAAAGAAGCCGTGAGGGCCGATTATGGAGGTGTTGCACTGTATATTCAGGAGGCACTCCCGTGGGTTATTACGGTAGTACACAAGGACAACCATCCGCCAGGGTGTGAGGTCATTTGGATGCGCATTAACCTTTCTACAGGTGGTAGTCTTCTGATGGGAGCCTGCAATCTTGCACCAGAGACGTCCAGGGTCTACCCAGACGGTGGAAGCACCATAGCACAGCGCACTGTAGCAGCCGCCGCGGAAGCAGTTTTTATCAGAATCCAACAGGCACTGACGGGACTCAGGGTTGGCGATGAGGATGTATTGATAGCTGGGGACCTTAACACACGTCTGTCTGGAGCACAACATGAGTGGAACCGTGCTACCCCAACAGACCTACCTACTTACATGAGTAACATCCCTGATTTGGAGCAGTTGCAGGCCGTACACGAGATCCTGGGGGTTTGAAGGACTGAGGGACTATAAGAAGTATGATGGACTCGGAACTCGGAATTGCCAGGATCAAGTTTGCAATTTTTTCGGTGCCCAGCTCTGGGTGCTCTGCAGGTCCGAAGGGCTGCCCGTGATGAACGGCCGGATAAGAGGGGACCTTTAAGGCCGCCTAACTTTCCCTAAGGGGGGAGGCAGGCGGTAGTATATTCGATTTGCTCATAGCGACTCCGCGTGTGCTTCACCAGTACGCCACCTTTCTGAGGGTGGGAAACCTTATCAAGTTGGATGGATGGGAGCCCA